TTCGGCGGCGCCCCCAAGCCCGACGGCTCCGCCGCCGCCGCCGGCTCGAGCCTCGTCACCGTCATCGCGCTGCTGCTGCTGCCCGTGGCAATCGCCATGAACGGCTATGCCATCTTCGTCTTCATCTGGCGCGGCCAGATGATCGCCAAGAAGCGCCCCTCACAGTTCGACGACCGAATTGGGCCGCTCGGCCTCTGCGCGGCCGTCGTCACCGCGCTCACCGCGATCTTCATAGTGAGCCTCGTGGACTTCATCGATTACATAAGCCAGCCGCCGGCCGGCCCCGCGCCGGCGCCGCCGCCGGCGGCGTCGCCGGTGCTTGCGGCGAACGCGCTGTCTGGCCTGTTGAGCATGGCGGTTGGCGGCGGTTACGGCGGCGCCGCGGGCGCGGGCGCGCTGCCGCTGTCCGCGTGAGTGCGACGGTCGCTCCGCACAGGGCCTGGGCGCGCCGCTTCGGGCGGCGGCGCCGCCGCCGCCGCGCATCGACACAGGCATGCGGCGCGCGCCGGCCGGCCCCGGAGGGGATTCTGCTGTTGATGTGCCCGTCTGAACAGGTGCCCCCGCGCGGCGTCTAGCGCGCGGCACTGGGGCGCCGACAGGTGCAACCGCGTGTTCTCGAGTCGCAGCTTCACACCGCAATGCAATGCACCCCGCGGCCGCGCCTGCTGACCAGGCGCGTGCGCCGCGGCCGCGGCGGGCGCCCAAACGCGCCCCTGCTTCCTCCCTCCCTACGAGCCTCCAATTTCCGCCCTTGTTACAGCGACAAGGGCCTGTCCTTTTGATCTGTTGATTCCTAAGGATTGCACGCCGCGGCCTCTCACACTGACTTACTGCTTCCCGCCCCACGCCTGCCGCGCCCCCGCGACGCGTCGCGCCGGCCGGGCCTTCCGTCTTGGGCCTTCCAAAATTCGAATCGCCGCGCACATTTCGCCCCCACAAGCGCGCCGCGGCGCCGCGGCTGGAGCCATTGCCTCGTTGGCGGAGCGGTTCGATTGCGGTCACTGTAACGCACGGCAGCTTCTAGACCTATCCTTCACGGTCGCATTCAGGTAACATTTGCATTTTGAGGGGGCGTTCTCAGGCCGCTGGTTGCAGGCGGCGTCGCACCGCGAGCTCCCGCCACATGTGATTTTCCTCCAGGAGAAAGAAATCGAGGGAAAGTCGATCTTCCAGCTAGCAAGTCGCAGTGCAGAGCGGCAGCTTGGGAACTGCCACAGAGGCACGAAAGTCAGGAACTTGCCCTGGGTGCCGGCAGCCGGGTTTCATGGGCACGTTCACAGCCGGCCGCTCATAGCCCCGGCGCGCCAGACCCTCCCCTACTTCGGCCCCCTGCCCGCCGCCCGCCGACCCCCCGCCGCCCGCGTCCGCTGCGGCTGCCGCGCCCGTGCCCGGGCGGCGGCCCCGGCGGCTGCTGCGCCGGCGCCGGCGCGGCCGCATGATCTGGGGCGTCCGGCAGATCCAATATGTCACTGTCGGTGCTGGCGCTGTCGCAATCCTCCTCATCCTCCTCCTCATCCCATACCTCATCTGGAGAGTCGCCGCTGCTCCCTTCCTCCTCCTCAGCTGCCTCCCCGCCGCCGCCGCCGCCGC